ATCACCCCATTTTTTCTTCGTCAATATGAAAAAAGGAACGCCCACATTTAATTCTACGTTTGAGTTTGAAATCAAGAAAGCAAATTGAATATGATCATACGTATGATCTTTAAGCACTTTGAAACTTTGACGGAAAAGAGCATCTATGCAATAAGGGCTCAGCAGAAATATCCTTTAAGCTTGCCAAAGGACACAATTTACATCAAATGGATGCGGGATTTGCGCACCTGGAAATATACTCAGCAGTTAAGGACGTGTTTCATAAATAATTATTCTTCTTTTTTCTTTTTCAAAGGTACACATTTTTGTATTGATTTCTCTTTATTTTGAATGTAATTATATATTGTATAGATATTGCAAAGCACTTATAATTGCGATTTTTGTAACTTGTTGTGAATGAAAATTAATTATAAATGAAATAAAAATGACAGGAAATATCTGAAAGTGTTCTGGTATGAATTATGGGAATATTGCCTACATTTTCATTAGTTCCAAAAACAGATTGTTTAAAACAGGGTCTCAAATTCTGTCGCGAAAAAAACGAATGGCAATTATCGGTAGCCTTGTCCGTCAACTATTGAAATGTGTGAACATAAATAATAGTAATAATAATAGTAATAATAATAATTTTCGGTTCTTGTATAACGCTTATCACATTATAACGCCTCTATGCGCCTACAAAGAGCTTTGGAAATGATTACCTGGGGTTTAGTATGGCTGTCATTAAGGAGCTCTGGCATTTCAAGGAGTTAATTACATCACAATGACGTACTACGCAATACGAATATGATTGCTATTGCATAGGGTATTGAATTGAATTGAATTGTACTTCAGCTGATTCCTCGAAAGTCTTTGCAATCGGGTTTTTGTAAAGGGTAAAAAGTATTCAAATAAGTTCAATTCATTTAAATTCATTTATTTCCAACAGACTCATGAAAACAGTGAAATGTGTAAAACAATGCAGAAACAACAAAAATCGAAATATTACATTAGAAATGCAGTAAAGACCAATACATAACATGACAATTGAGTATAATGTAGAGGGACTATCAAAGGCCAAAAGCTTATGAAGGACTAATCCGAAGCTAACAAAAAATACAATCATTTAGAACAAAATATGGAACAATGTAAAACTTTAAAGACAGAGTAGCAACAACAAGAGCAACAACAACAACAAGTACACATGATCTATTTTGAACATATTGCCAGATATTTTCTATTCAAGTGTAAATACACAAAATATAGCTCGTTACAAACGAGGCGTCGATTTGCTTTAAGCTGCGGCATATAGTATAGTATTAACTAAATTGAAAACAAGTTGAAATGCTTTTCGTTTAATTTTTGTAACACTTTTGAAAAGGCTTTTATCATTATCATCACATTACTGTTGCTCTTAATATGTGAGATTGGACGGATAACATTCAGCTGTTGAAGTGAGATCCATTGGAATAAAAACACAATATGGTAGTTACTCGTATATTTCTGCTTGGAAATTAATTAATTCATATTTACGAGCAATTTGATAAAAGCTTCCGACACAAGATCATCAAGGACAATACTACTAGGAGATGAGTGCTCTTGCATGATTGAAAATATGTAATTACGGGGGCACTCGTTTTTATAGGTTCATAATATTTTCCGATGGTTCATAATTCAAAAACTCAAAATTTTCGCATCAGGGGATCCATATTTCCGATAATGAAATAGATTTCTCAAGCCCGGAAATGAATCGCATTACTCCTAAGTCCTAAGATTAATAACCCCACAACTTTGTTCTTCCAAAATTTTGTTTGTCCGAAGTCTGATAATTCGGAAAATGAAATAGGGTTAATTATCCTGAAAGTTTTTAATTCCGAAAATGAGGAAGGTTGAAGATTCGTATTAAACTCCGAAATAACACAGGATGTTTGTTTTTTCTCCCTTCATTTTTGGAGATAAATGAACCTTTCGAAAAATGACACGTAATCCTTGTTACAAGCATTGTCTAATGTGCCTCATTCAGTGGGGTGATCTGATTTGAGTTCAGTGCACTCTCTTTCTGAAGTAAACATTTTGATTTTGAACTTAAATTATAAACATGACCCCTCCCTCCCCCCCCCCCCTTAAAAAAAATAACAATTCCGATTACAAACATGCAATTAACGCAACCATGACCACATTTATTATGATATCATAATAATAATATTTAATAATAATATTTAATTTTAATATAGCGCTTAATACAAATGTCTCTAAGCGCTTTACAAATATACTATTACCCCGGTCATTGGATTCAGTGCTTGCCTGCACACACTATGTGCACAATCTCCACTCCCTGGGGAGCATTCCAGCCGGGGGTTACTTGACTCTCACAAGCTGTTTGACCAACAATGACGGCCGCATCCTACCGGGTACCCATTTGACACCTGGGTGGAGAGTAGCAAGTGCAGGTTAGTATCTTGCCAAAGGATATTAGTGCCGTGTCGGGATTCGAACCCTCGACCTTCGCATCTCCAGTCAAGCGCCTTAAACCACTCGACCACGACACTCCCACATTCTTTCATCATTCTTTCATTAACACACTTTTAATGAGAACAAGTTAACATTCTCATTTGTAATCCTAGTGGTGATCACACGTATGTATTTGCAATTATATAGAACTATGCCAAATAGCTTTGCGCGGCACAAATATTGTGAAAAGTAATTTTCCCATTTATTAATGAGTACATTTAACCAAAAAGAACAGATAATAGTTACTTTACTTAGAACGATGTTGAGCTATAAATATAATATTACGTCAGCTTGTATTTACATTTACATGAATTGAAAAACATGTTTCGAAAAGATGCTTGATTGTTTACAGATTCAAATATTCATAACTTTCTTATTTTTTAATCGAATCTTGCTCAACTTTCACTTATTTGTGTATATAATTTCTCTGCTTCTTTTAAAACCAACTTGATATCAGTGTGGCCTTCCACTTTAGACAATATACAAAAAGCGAGAAAAAGGTTGATTAGTGGAGGAGCCAAAAGAGGGCCATGTCAAATACTAGCTCCATGCTTAAGTTAAATATCATTTATAACATTTGAAAGGAAAAGAAAGAAAGAAAATGCATAATTATGAATATTTACAAGTATGATAATCCATGTGACAGCTTATGAGTAAATACAATTATTCCATGGATTCAATAAGAAACACTTAAACTTTTTTTAAATGAAGCAATTTGGGAAGTTTTTACTTAATAATTAAGACAGAGATGACTTATTATCATATTCATGATTTAGCATGATGTATGAAAAAAAATATATCAGTATTACTCAAGATCACGATAATCACTATTTAATCATGTATTCGTGTACAAAGAACATCAGGGACCTCCGTCGTATGTTCATATAAGAGATGGGGGACTTTAAACTTGCGATTGATAGGAGGAATTGCGATTAATTTGGACCAAAAACGACTCCTTGATAAAGCCGGGGCCCAGAATTATGGATTTTCTTCAATTTATTGTTTAGCACCTACTGAAATGTGCGAACATAAAGTCGTATTACGTAATGCGAAAATGATTTATATGGCTTACTTCGTACCATCGGGTCATCGCGTCAGGTCGGATGGTCGCGTTACCCGACCTTTTGCCCCTTTATTCACAAAATGTCGGGTAATGTTTATAAAATAAAACACTCTCATCTACAAAATGTCGGGGTAGTGTTTGTGAAATAAAACACTCTCATCTACAAATGGTCTAGTCCAATTAACCTGACAATTAATGAAAACCATACGGCAAATCTACGAAATGTCGCGTCATTTTCCGCTATCGTTTCACAAAAGTGCATGTTACACGACCACCCGACCGGACGCGGTGACCCGATGATTCGAAGTTAGCTATTTCTATAGAATCTACAATTTAGTAGTGTGACCAACTTTGAATCATTTTCCCGAAGGGTTATACGATCATGTTTATCATGGTTAGGCCTATAGGGATGGGAGTGGATTTGAGAGTGATTTTAATTTTTTAGTTTGAGTTGAGTTTGAAGTTTATTATCCAAAACAAAAAGTACATCAATATAAAAATTAAAAGTGAATGTTTAACATTGAAAGGATAAATGGGACCAGAAAATAGCATTTAATGCTTATCGTGTCTGGTACCACTAACACACAAAGGTATCACAGCAATGAATGAGACTGTAATGAATAAATTATAAATATGAATAACTATTGAATACATATTTAAAGGTAAAGACCAGTATTGGTAACGCCCTAATTTCAAAAAATGAAATGGAAGCTCTCATTACCAATCATGTGAAAGAATATGTTTTGACTAATACATGATGATAAAAAATTTGCCGGGAAACCGCCTTCTAATTCATATATTTGGTAAATTTATTTCTCTCATGGTCGTGTGAGAGAGTTAGGGTAGTCCCATATACATCTTTCTGTGTATAGTGCTTGTAACTTTACGAAGAATGGGCCACATTTCTTATCATTTTGATGATTCCAGAACCTTGCAGATGCTAGATGCTAGATGATCAACCTTTTCTGATCGATTCCACAACGTTTCTTTCACAATGCAATCGCATGACCATTACTGGTCTTTACCTTTAAGCTACAAGCTTTTCTACATCTAGGCTGAAGTATGTACTGTGATTAAATACAAAGCTTTGGTATTTAACACTGAAATAAAAGATACAGAATTATATAACATAATATTTACAAAAAAGGGCAAGAACCTCGGTTCACAGTTAAAAATAATTCTATTAACATTTGTGATATTAGAGTTCTACGAAGGCAAGACACTAATGCTTTCTCCCGTACAGATAGGAAACACATGAGATGTACATGAGATGAGACACATAAGGCATTTTAAAGGGCAATTCTACTCACAAAGCTGTGAGGGTGTAAAAAACTTCTTCTAAATTATAATAATATGTTTTAGGTTTCATTATGAAGAATAATTTTTAATGTGAATACAAATTTATTTAAAGCACTGTTGAATGTGATTATGTGATATGCTACTTTCATCATGATGTACAATTCTTGATTTGAATGAAAATCTCTTTACAATTCTGTCGAAAGCGCCTGTTGAGTGGCCAGTAGATGAAAATGTTAATGGCCGAGTTGATTTCGTACAGACGAAAAAATATGGCGTATACAGTGTGGTGTAAATCCGATCGGCTCATGAAATCACGACGTATTTCAACCGGGAGGTAACGTCCTATGATCGCCGGTAACCAACTGACGACGTAAAACGCGGTCACCCAGCCAAGCATCAGCGTCAGACGATTCTCCCCTTGCCGCCCAGCAGCGGTTGTATCTACCGGAGCGGTAGCGGTAGCAGCGCCCGGTTGCACTGCAGTGACGTTGCTGCGCTGAGGTAGTGACTGGGTGGCGGTATTTACAGGTTTATTTGCAGGATGAACTTCTTCTAGGGTATCATTAGGCTTGGCGTTAGAGAGAGACAAGAACTTTCTTAAGACATGTTCCCTGTCTGATGAGTTCCTTTCGTTGGTATCAGCAGAACCTGACGCACTTCGACCGGGACCACTACCGGAGACACCGGGTAGAGCCGCGTTGCCTTCCGCAACTGTTCTCGAGGGTTCGCTGACGGTTAGAGCTGCTCGGATCTTCGTCTGCCGACGCAACGCAAAGACGATACGTGTATACACCGCGGTCAAAAGGCAAGGCACGAGCACCATAAAGCTCTGGACAACATATCGATCGTAGGTTGTAAACCATTTCAATTCCGGGCTGTACAGGCAATCCTTGATGACCGGGTCATACCGCGCCGCAGCTAAGGATGGGCCAGACAGCAGCAAGGTACCGAGCAGGCAGAGTACCATGATGGCTATAGCAGTTTTGACGCGCGGTCGTCGGTGGATCGGCCGACAAACTGCGAAGAACCGGTCGACACTTATCGCGAGAGTCACCGCCATTTGGGCAACGGCTATCCATACGGTGAAGAAGAATTGAAACTGGCAGAAACTGTTGCTACTCGCCCAAGGACGAAACTTGGCTATGATAAAGAGGGATGAGAACAAATCGACTTCTGCGAGACCCATGATGAAAATATCAGTGCCGTTCTTAACTTTCTTCCTTGAGTATCCTGCTAATATCATGACGTTGCCTGGTACACCGAGACATATCAGAATGGCATAGAATGCGATAAACACTTCGCGGTTGATAGCCATCTTTCGAACGCTGCAGTACCCGTTTCAGGCTCGAAATATCACAAATGCAACATTTTCTCTTCGTTCACTAACTGAGGTTTTTGAGTACCAGTTCGAAAGCGCCATTGGACAATCATTGTTAACAAATTATGAGAAACTTAATCCATCGATTCCTATTCACACGATTGTAGTTCCTTCGAAGTTTCGTTGAGAGAGGATTCAATTCAGCGCGTAAGAAATATAATAAATCAGCTATAGTCTACAGCGGGGGAGGTATCAGTTCGATAGAGACTCTACAGTAAAGCTTTTAATTTTCAAAAGGTGAACAAAACCTCGGAGTGGTAGATCCATAATTCACTTTAACAAATCCGTCTTTTCTATTAGAAACCTCGCTGCATACATGCATTTACTAAAGTACTCTGTGCGATCATTTTACAATTTACTTATAAATTCCGCGCGGGGACCTGTCATTTAAGTATTGTGTACAATTTTAATGGGGATGATGATACCTCTAAACAAAGGTGTCTCAGGAGGAGTCCATTATCGCATCGAAATATTATGAAAAGCCATTAGAATGTAGGTTGAACGCTATGAATTGAGTGATTATGAGCGCATGAGTGATATAAATGATATTCACAAATACCTCTAATAGGATGTATGGATGTGAGTGAGATGCATTAAAGAAGACGGAACAATTATTATGAATATTGAAAATGACTTTTAACATTAAAAAGGACTAAACCTACTCAGTTAAGATGTTATTGGAAGTTTTTATGACTTCGATGGTAGGCGCAATAAGGGGGGTATTGGTTGGAGGCACATGTTTCAAGAATCTTTCACAAGCACAAATATAAAAAGGAGAAGGAGGGGAAGAAGAAGGAAAAGAAGGTGAGAAGGAGGTGAGAAGGAGGAGGAGAAGAAGACAGAGAAGAAGGAGATGGAGGAGGAAAAGAAGAAGGAGAAAGAGAAGGAGAAGAAGAAAGAATGAAGAAGAAGAGGGAAAGAATATAATTTGATAGTTGATAAGTCTTTATTGAGGAAATCACTCCAAATCGTGGTTGAATACTCTTTAAGCGTGGATTTCTACTGCTAGTGAGAATATCCCTAATTAATACTGACAACACAATTACGTGGATTCACCCCTACGGCCGTATGGATAGTACTCAGTCATCGTCATGACGCCTCAGTGTAGGGGGGGGGGGAGTGTGATGGGGTCTTTAACCCCCCCCCCTTAAATCTTTTTCTAGCAACAGCCCTGGTCATGGGCATTCCTTTTAAGCTAGAAATATACAATATAAGGAGCTAAAGGATAAAATGATTTTAAAGAATTTCTATAGATCAGGCACTCAAATTATAAAATAATAATTAAAGATGAAGTTGAGTTCTGGTCATGCGATTGCATTGTAAAAGAAACGGTGTGGAACCGACCAGAAAAGGTTGTTCATCTAACATATAAGAATTTGTGTGTATTACAAGGTTCTGGAATCATCAAAATGATAAGAAATTTGGCCAAGTCTTGGTAAAGTTACAAACACTGTACACAGAAAGATGTATATGGGACTACACGAACACGTGGCGTAAAAAGCCGGCCCCCCGATTTTTACGATGTTACATGCATATTTATAATATGAAGACATTTGAAGAGCCATGCTTTTCAGGGAACATGTCTTATCTGATGTTCTTCCACACTTGCATAATAAGAATAAGTAACGCTCACAAAATTTTTCACCTCTTCCCAGAACTCAACCTTCTCTTTAAGAAAAGATCCCTTATGTTTTACCTCAGAGCATCATCGTGAGGGAGGAGATAACCTGCGTGGGTGTAAAAGCGCCATTACTGGACAAACGTTAAGCATCCCTGGGGCGCCGCAACAAAAAATAGGCTATTCCAATATCGTTTATCAAGACTCGATGACATTAAGACAATGAATCCTCATGAAATATGCATGAACAAAAACCTAATCTGGGAAGCTAACCATTCCAAGAGTACAAAACTGTCAAACATGGTATTTTGGGTGGAATTCGAGGGCGGAATTCGAGGGAGGGGATCGACAGGGACGGGATTTTCCCTTTTTATAAGGCATTAAGCCAGTTCAAAGTTGCATTCTGAGCATGAGCAGATAAAGGTCAATGCAGACCGAATACTCGGAGACAAAATACTGGATACGTGCTCATGAAATGTATGTAATCATTATTCATTTCTGCACAAGCAGTGCACTCAAGGATACACAGGTGGAAGTATTTATACAGGAGGAAACAATTAAAGGCTATTTATGTAGCACCTCTATATCGTTGTAGGATTTTTTAGTTACTTACCCCGGGACTACATTCTCCTTTAATCCCCTCTTCCTATTTTTCTTCTCTATTTCTTCCTTTTTGTCTTCTTCCCTTTATCCTTATGTTCTTTGTCATTTGTATTATATGTATTATTTATTTATTCATACTTTTTATGCATTTTATATTTTGATGTGATTGTATTTATATATTATAAATTTTGAATAAGTTGTGTAATTTTATGTAGATCACCTGGAAGGAAATTTTCTTCTTTTCAGGAAGAAGACAATAAAGTATATATCCATATCTATCTATCTATTTCAAAATGTACAAAGTGGGACCTCTTCATGTTTTGAAGATCTTTGGATATTCGGAGTAATTTAGGACATGTGCTTACCGAGAACTGATCTATTCATCCCCTCTATATACACCTCTCGCCTCTGTTATCTATCTTATTTACACAATTAAGGTAGCCACACCAGTATCAATGCTAATGGCCCTGTCATTATTATTACCCAGCATTACCAGCGCCGCATAATTAGATGTGTCCATATCAACAGCGTAATCCTGTTGATGACTACGATGCATTCGTGTGGCATTGATACATCGGCGTATCCAAGTGCGGGGAGGGGAGGGGAGGGGCATCAAAAAAGGCCTTTTAACAAAATGTTGTATTGCCCTTTAGGTGCCAAAACCATTTTGTTCTCCCTCTTTGGGCTGATATTTCTCCGTTTTAAATGCTTTTAATACATATTTTTGTATTCATTAAACAGTTTTTTTTCAGCTTTTTTTTTCAAGATTTTGGGGGCGGTCGCAAAAGGCAATACAACATCTTTTTTTTAAACGCCTTATGGGGATCTATGCTCAACTTCAAAATGTGGACGTGGGACTGATCTTAGAAAAAAGAGTATTAATAATGATAATAACAATGATAATAATGATGTCTTGTTTACATAGGGCAGCCTCATAGCCCTCATTAGTATTAATACTGTGGTCCCTGAGGGGCCTTGCAATCATAATTATTACCCCGGGTTTAGCCGAACTACCATGAAAAGGCGCTCAAGCATTCAAATAATTTCTTCCTTCCGTTCATTGGGATTACATTTTTATGGTGTACGCGTTGATGGCCGCTGGAGTATTGCTAATCAAAATACAGTCAAACCTAGCGATACAAGGGAAACACAAAAAGTGGTCTTTGTAGACAGGTTCCTTCAGTGGCGGATCCAGGGGGGGGGGCATGGGGGAAAAACGTGTAAAAATACGCTAATTCTACCTTTTTTTTTGGAGATGGGCCTCCTCCCCTGGCGCTCAAGAGGGGGGGGGGGGGGGGTGCGATTTTTCAAATTTTTGAGGACCAACAAAAAATTAGTGCTCACTATTGCAGGTTTCAATGCATAAGCGTATCAAGTTTTAAAACCCTGATACACAACCAGCGGTGATTCTGATTCTTGTTGACTACCACAATGTTGGAGGCCCTCTAATCAATCACAAAACTAACAAACGCCTCTTTCTTGATATTTGTCATGTTTGCAGGATCTTGAACTAAGATTGATATCAACTTATCGGATCGATTTGACAGAGCCCCGGGGGAGAAAATCACACATTGGACCCGATAATATAAAGCAAATATCTCACGCTTGTGAAGCATGAATAACCTGGTCATTCTGTTCACATCGTCAATAATACCAATTAAAAATGATTCCTCTATGGCCACCATTTCTTTCTCGCTCTCCCTCTCTCTCTCTCTCGCTCTCCCTCTGTCTCTCTGTCTCTGTCTCTCTCCCACCCTCTACACCCTCTCTCTGTCTTCTTCTTCTCTTTCTGCTGTTTCCCCTTTTTCTGTTCGTCACTCTCTCATTCTTATCTTTGTTTATGTATCATCCATTCATCCTCATATTGTCATCCTGCTACCGTTTCTGAAATGTTTTTGTCTCGTTAATTGTTTGTTTTTAGTATCTGCCATTTTTTTTTATTCCTTAATTGTTTTCAAAATTAAGTTATATGTATAAAGTTTATTGTTGAGCGAACCTACACCTAACAAACATTGCTTTCAAGTAGGTTCGTTTTTTTCATTTCCTGAATCAAATAATTTTGCATTACAATGACTAAAAAACAATGTCAAATATATTTCAATGCTCATTTCTGTTATCATATTACATTTATTATCGTCTGAAATGAAAAGTAAATTCGCTTTGTATAAAGCGACTACTGCTACCCTGTTTATTCCATTTATATAATTTTCTTTTCTCCATGAGATACATTTGTTGTTGCTGTTTTCTTTATTTCCGAAATCATATAAAAAATATTAACCAAAAAGAAAAATATAGGCCTACAAAATGAAAAATTAATACATGTACATAGATAATACTCGGAGGAAAGCCCAATTCAGCAATGTTTCCTTGGGGCCCCTTTAGTGTCCTTATACGTGCAGCTACACGTGCCAATGAAGCAAACGCAAGGGGGTTCCCCGCACAATTACAGTAGTACTTTGTGACGCAATATAACCAGGGACGTCACAACACCATTTTGAATGGTCGGAGCGTGGGGGGGGGGGGGGGGGGGGGGGTGGTGTCGGTTGTCAAACCAAACTTGTAGGGATTTGTTGGAATAAACTTGTGAACATTTATGATATGTAATATCAAACAAAGATGTAAAAAGTCATTAATTTTTGCGATTTGAGGGCCAGACTCTAAACAAAATGACATTTTAAAGGGGATATTACACTACCATCGCAACCCTCCTCAGCTC